TCTGCTGGTGTGCTATGCCGTGAGTCCGAATGAACATTTGGATCTCATTGCCGTTGATGAAGTTGGGGAGGTGATCGAGCGTCACGCGGCTCGTAGTTTGTATCGAGCCATCCGAACGCAGAGTGCTAGTGATCATATATTCCGCCATAGTTCTGAGCCAACTGGGGCACAAGGACAAAGCTCATGTTAAAGCACACCGTTCATGCAAACCAAGCGCAATGCAACGAACACAGTCCCAAGCATGCACAAGAAGGGACAAAGGACAAGCACACATGCAAATTTTGTCCCAAGTCGACGGCGAACATCCCGCAGAAGGTGAGATTCAAAACCTTTGGCCTCATAAAGGCGTTTGAGAGCGTCGAGCCCATGCTGCTGCTGAACCGCCGGTTGTGCACCGCGTATGATGAGCCACGAGCGAGAAGACCAAGAAGAATAAGTGAACATCTGATCATTGGCACTCCGAATTCCTTTGATTTGGGAGGGATGATCAGGTAGCTGTGGTGTAATAGTTCTGGAGGAAGAATCACATCGGTAACCCAGTACTTTGTCATCATGTTGAACCTCAAGCATCACTGGTGGGCGATAAAATTCCAGGGAAAGAAAGTTCATGAGCACGGGTGAGTGTGGGGCTGAGTCTCGAAGGAGAATGAAACGATTGTCGACGTAGCGCTCATGCCAAATCACACCAATGTCGGGCATGCAAAACCGCAGTGAAATCATGGTTCGGTGCCAGAAGAAATCTTCAACCGTAGCTACCAAATTGCACAACGGTGGCGCGGCTGGTGATCCCATAGCGACTCCTCGTTCTTGGCGGAACAGGTATCCGTTGATCTCGAAGTGACTGTTGTCAATGACAAAGTCCAGAAGGTGCCGGAGATCTTGTTCACGAAAAATTCGAGGGATCTTGGTTTGACGGCGCCACTTTCCTTTGAACATACGGCGTCGATGATCTGACTTGACTTCGTACACGGACCATTGCGAGGAACCGCGAAGGCCAACAACTTGATCATAGCGATGAAGAAGCACTTGAAGCGCCTGATGGAAACGTTCCGTAGGAATGGACGTGAAGAAGCCTGACAAGTCTTGCGAAACCAGGTGGATGTACTCATCAGGATCTGCTTTTGACAGTGCTTCCCACAGCTGCTGGATAAGTTCTTGTACTGAGAGTTGACCTGCAATGTCGGGGAAGGCTGCCTTGGTGAGTTCAAATATAAGTGCACCGAAGACCGTGAGGAAGGGAGCTGCCCATGTGCGAAAGAATGAGATGATGGGTCGAGCTTTCTGCCAGTCCTTGGTCGGCTTTGGGAGGATGCGCGCTGTGGGCAACGGTGCTTGAAGTCGAAGGCCCCATGCATATCGTTGACGTAGGAGAGAAGGTACTGTGTTTACCACTTCAGAGCGGAAGGATGCTGCAGATTCGCGGCAAAGTGAGAAGACATCCCCTGCGCAGAATGTCTTCCGCATCAATATGGCAAACAGGGACGGGCACATCACATGTGCGCGGGAGGGAAAATGATCCGCCGGGATGACTACCCACGAAGACAAAGAAGCCACAGTGCGTTGCAACGATGTCGATGACCAATAAGCCCGATCTTGAAGGTTGATCCGATGAGTATCCATTAGCTGAGACACAACTGGCTGTAGATCTGAAAGCAGACCGGAACCATGTACATGCCAGCGTCGAGCAAGTTTGCGAAGTTGTGTGGTGAAACGTTGATGCAATAAGTCGACATCACCGAAAAACTGATCCTTCATCGAGGCGGTCATGATTTCAATGTTAATGTCCGCATTGATGCGAGAAAACTCATCCAACATTACTGCGTGACCATGTGCACGGTGTAGATGGCTATCATCGATGTCCAAACAGCGACACGGAAAGAATGTGTCAGGCGCCCATTTGCGCTGCCATGTGCGATAGTTGTATATCTTGTCGCCCAGTGTGGCGCTGCGAGTTTCCACAACCCGGATCTTTGGAAGGAAAAGAGAGGGGAACAGATCCCGATGAGAAGCAATCCAGCTTTGTAACCATGTGCCCAGTAGAGCTTTCCAATTCTGGACATGCAGCGGCGGCAAGAGTAGCTGTGTTAAAGTGGTGGGTGGTTGTAGCCGTCGTTTGCGTAGTACCTGGGCGAGGAGCTTCTGGGCCTTGGAGCGGAAGGGTTCGTTGACAAATACTGCGAGCCGCAATAAGTAGTACAGCTGAGTGGGAGGGAAAGCGGCTGACAGTAGGTCACGCATGACTTGGAACGACGCTCCTGTATTCGATCCCAGCTGATAGAGGATCGAGTAGTGGGCTTGAATGTCATCCAGGGTGTCAGGTCGTAGTTGCCGTTGGAGATCCGGATGTAGTCGTCGTCGAAAGCGCTTGTGCAAGCCGAGGGAAGTGGGCGACGACAACTAGTGGCGTCGAAAATCTACAAGATGTTCCCGGAAGCCCACCTTGCGCAAGATTCTGTGTACCCAGGGCGCATTCAAATGCGGGCGTAGCAGGAATTGCCATTTGCTTTCTTGAACCCACACCGAGGAAACAGGAAGTTTGATTTCCACTGGTACAGCACAGAAGAGCCAGTAAGTGTTGGATCGCTTCCAGTAGTGAAGCGCCGGTTCAAAGAAGGCATGCCGTCCACGAAGTAGTTGTAGAAATTTGCGACTGCGTGAGTGTTCACGACGTAGAACATCCTGATCAGTCGCCCCAACATAGTATGGTGCGTGCCATGGGGAAAGTCGAATGTAGACGCACGGTTGTTGGTGATGACCTGGATCATGTATGAAGTCGTAGAGGTCAGGAAATCGCGCCCGCAATGAGCGTAGATGTCGCGTGTCAGCGAAAGTTGAGTGCATGATTTCACACAAGAGAGGTCTTGTAGAAGTGAAGAACTTCGAAGAACGGCGGGATGTAGCCGTGATCCTGTGAAATGAGACGTTGTAAGAAACTGATCAATAAATAGGCAGCGCACCGACATCTGTGAAGTTCGTACCTGTTGGCCACGGTGTGCTGAGAGTTTGACATAGCGCAATTCGGAATCTGGAGGGCTATTCGGACCATAACTAAGACCTCGATGATGAGACCCAGCCACGGCAATTGTGTGATGGATTCGTACTCTTCAATTGGAATCGACGGTGGTGGTAGTCCAGGGAAACAGTAATGCCAGCACGTCGAGAATGTAGTCAACGAGTGCAGAAGGTCGTCCAGCGACTGCCATTGTGCAACATCATCATAGATTCCGCAATGGCGAAGTTCATCCAACATGGTGAGATGCAACCAACGAAATCTACCACAAAGCGGCGACATGAATACAAGCATCACAGACAATCACACAAGAGGCAATGCAAGAACAAGCAAGTACAAAATCAATCATGTGCAACGCAAACACTTGACGGACGAGTTTTCACCTGGACTCATCCGTGACATTGTTGCCGCTCCGGGCTCATATGAGAACGAAGGTCGATATGATGCCTTCTCATCCACAAAGCAGGCGAGCGGTCACGATGAGGTGACTCAATGCCTTCTCGGTGAG